AACGTTCCTCTACGATCCCTGAAGTTAAGCAATATCGAACATGGTCAGTACCTTTTGTGAATACCAAGTGCTGTAAGCTATTATCTTGCAGATGGTGTAATGGATAACGAGTCAGAATTGTTAATCGGAGAGCCGAGTTCCAATTTCATTTGGGTTCGTTGTATTCTTTTATGTGCAAATACTCTTGGGAAAGTATGACTTACCACCCTTCCCCTATGTGGTATTAAAACTTTCATCACTAAACCATTATCTGGCTTTAAATAACCCGCATAGAGTCGATAAGCCGTAAAAAAACGAATCAATCAATCAATCATAATATTCTCTGAGTTGCTTTCCCCCTCCGTTTCATACGGTGACCTTCTACATTGAGTGGCCCCCGAGACATGTATTGGATAACCTATCAGTAAAGAAAAAAGTCGATAGAAGGGAATGGTTGTGAATAATAATAATGCATTAAGTTCAGTTAATGCGGATGAATGAGAGAAAAACAAAACCGAAATATAAGGAGAGGTAAAGAATTAAAAGGAAGAGGAAAATCTAGCAAAACATACGAGTGGAAAACAAGAAGAAGAAGAAGAAGGAGGAGGAGGAGTAGAAGAAGAAGAAGAAGAACAAGCTTGACTGTTTTTTATATTCTACAGCAAAACGGGAAAGCAAAAGAACCTTAACAATTGCTTACAGATCGAAAACCTTATATAAATATGTTTAGGGACAAATGAAAACAAAGAAAAAACGAATGGACATTTGAATATTCTTGTATGGCAATTACTATAAATATATTTATATCATTCTTCTAGACACATTGCTAGCTTTTAATGGTTTGAATAATACCTTCACTATCGGAAAACTAATTTAAAGAATGCAGTTAAAATTATTAATGATTGATAGCATAACCAAATGGAACACGAGAGATATCTCGCATAGGATATCTCACATAGAATTTCTCTGTCTGAAAACATCTGTTGATATACCTGTTAGACATTTTCATGACGGTCGTCTTCGAGTATAGAATCCTGAGGTTGGCAGTGAATATTTCGGAGACAGTAGGAAAGCGTAGTCCAGATTCGCAGTGGATATCGCAGCAAAGTAGCAGAGCAAAGTTCTTCCGTCTGTCATGTTCGCCGGACAACTTGCCTCTGGTCCTTCCGGGTAGGAAAACAAAGATGGCCGCCTTTATACACGACGGATCCAGTGTTCTGCGGCTCCTGATTGGTTAATCTTCTATTGGTAGACTATAAAGGGAATTAAGTTACTTTGACTCGCTCACTTGTTACATATAATATACACAAAAAACCGTAACGATACCTTCCCGGTACAACGTCAAATTTAATTTCACAGCCTTGATACTAAACTCGACATTTAACTCATTTGGCAAGATGGCAATTTTTAAGACTACTTCTTATGTAGATGAACAATTACGGGTCTCTACAAACTCCTGCCTTTTGAACCTCGAAGTAAATGTTTATCGCTTATCATCAGTCTTTGTTCTGTAACTCAAGTTCGTTTAATAGCTTACTCGCTGTTACATCCAGCTTCGCTTTATTTCAATATGTCCCGTGAGTGTTAATTTTTCTAGACTCTATTTCCTCTTCCTAGAAATCTCAAATGCCTGTCCTGATTGTAAGCACAAGTTTCTCAGTTGTTGCTGCTTTTCTTAACCCCTTTTTATTGATCACAAATTCAGTTCGTGGAATATTTAGAATTCACCAATAGAACGACATCTCTGTCGCTAAATTCTCTTCTTCATCGATGTGGACATTATCAGCAACTCGCTGCTGTGTCAGAGATTAGCTATAATATAGCATTTCAACCCACTTGTTTCTGATAACATTTTCCTGTCTCTTAATATTCTGGATATTTTCTGGAAGGCGACTTTCGCTATTTCAGTGCGTTTCGGATTTCAGCACACAGTTTTCTTTCTTTTGCACATACAGTTAAATTTCTCTACATGATTTTTTTTAATATCCCCACTATGTAGCGTAGACTTGGGGTGCCTCATTTGCTGACAACCATGCATTCTGTCTTCTTGGAGTTACTAGTTTTTTCTTTTTGCCTTCCTTTACTAATTTGACGCAGTGTTCTTTAAGATTGCTTTCTGATCCTGGTATCATAATTTCCTCAAATTATTTTCTATGGTTAAGAATGTGTCTGCCAATATAAAATACTTATAGTTCTTCTTATGCTCTGAGGATATTCCCTATGTATACACCCTTGCGCAAATTCATTGGAACAAAACGAATAATTTCGTTATTATTTACTTCTTTCATATTTTTCCAATGAAACATAGCCAAGTGAACAAGTTAATACTTCGTATGTCCATTCCACGAAGACGTTCCTTGCAGATTGACCACAGATTCTCGATTGGATTTAAATCAGGAGAGGTTCCAGCACACTCTATAGTACTTTGCTATGGTCACTGGTAAGACTTGCCAGTGTGTACGTATCGCGTTATAATTTTCGTATGCTTCCTTGGAGTAACATACATCGCAGACAATGCTCGTAGAGCAACTAATTGACAGTTGAGACAATAGTGTCTTCGCGTGATAAAAATCTGATGCAAACTTAGATGTCGCAATATTTTTCAAGGCCAACCAAACTTCATTATACACCCCGAAAATACATTCATATTCCAGCGTACCGCTTCAAATGATTTAATCTGAGAAAAAATATATACCGATTACACCCTTCACTCCATAGGGTCTAAAACTGACAGTATGGTGTAAGAAAGGAAACTAAAGTGGATGTTTCAATTAAATTGCCCAAAGGTGTAGGTTAAATCCAGCGAAAGAAATGCACCCTTGTCTTACTTTTCTTTCTATTTGAGCGTATTCACGGAACTTGTTTGCTATTCACTTGTATGCTGCAGATAGCGACTGACAATACATTTAAATTTTTGGAGGTTAAAATTGGCTCGAAAGTGTGGAGCCGAAAGGGAGTTCTACAAGCGAGAAGAAACTGTTAACATAGAATTTACGGCTACATCAATCCGGCTCAAATATAAATTGATGAGATCTCGACAAAGAAGCCACCTACATATGATTGTAAAATGAGTACAGCCGACATGTAAAGATAAGCAAAGGGCGTAAGACAATCTCTGAACAGGTTAATATTGTTCAAAGCGTCAAAATAGATGTTCTTGATAAAAACATCCTAAATGAAACGTTTATTTTACATATGGAATAAGGGGAACTATGGATGATTCGACTCCACATAAATAGCATGAGATGTTCTACAATGGTGGACTGAAAAGTACATAGACTGATTATGAAGGGCTGATGCTTGAGCTGTGAAATCTTACATGTGTTAATTTGAACTCTTATGAATAACTGGATTGTTTCTGTCCATGTAAACTAATATATGACTGTTCAGAGTAAACTTTAAAAGTAACTAGTAGCGATTCCTCTTGAAAACGACCAACATTTGGCATTATGGTGTTTATCAAGTACCTTCAGAAAACAGGGTGACACCAACAAAGGAGAGTACTACGCCACCTTGTTGAGGCAATTACAAAATGCTATCAAGACGAAATGCCCGGGAAATCTGGCGAAACGGGTGTTGTTTCATCAGACCAAAACTCCAGTAGAGAAGTATTTGCTTTTAACGGGTACTGTGCTTAACTATGGCTTTAAATTGGTTTATCAGCCTCCCTATTCTCAAAATTTGGACCAGTCTAACATCTGTTTCCATAAATGAAAAAATAAAACTGAATTGCAAGCAGTAACGCAGTGATGGTGACGTCATATCTGCTATTGATGACTTTTTCGATTGGCAGAATGAAAGCTTCTTCATTTATGGGCCCCAAGCACTGCAGCACGGATAGAAGTGTGTGAATCTCAAGGGGGGCTATAAGTATCTGTCTATATTTCTGAGATGAGGTATTATGTACACTATTTACATTATTCAGACTATTGTCCTCATCTTTGTCGTCATATTTATTACAACGTTTAGGCCGTTGTACGCTCCAGCTTTCTTCAGTATCCGTCTATATTTCTGAGATGGGGTATTATATACACTATTTACATTATTCGGGCTATTATCCTCATCTTTGTCGCCATATTATCTACAACGTTTCGGCTGTGGTATGCTCTTGGCTTCTTCAGGTGATTGTAATGTTGAACGGAACCCTGTATTACGCTCACTGGGTTAGACTGTTCTAGTTCCACGTACCATGTCGACTCTGCTGTTAATTCCCCTCTCCAATTTCTCCACTGCCTTAACCGGGTATTGAACTCACAGTTCGACATTCCAACCACCTGAAGAATGCCGAAGCGTAAAACGGTCTAATGTAGGAAAGTGTTGTTCACGTTAGCAGTGGATATTTTGAAGACAGTAGGAAAGTGTTGTTCACGTTAGCAGTGGATATTTTGAAGACAGTAGGAAAGCCTTGTTCACGTTAGCAGTGGATATTTTGAAGACAGTAGGGAAGCGTTGTTCAGGTTAGCAGTGAATATTTTGGTAAAAAGTAGCAGAGCATAGTTTGTCCTTCTGTTTCTCTTCGCCTGACAAGCTGGACTGGACATTCGGGTAGAGTAGACAAAATGGCCGCCTTTATACACGACGGATTGAATATTTTACGTCTTCTGATTGGTTAAACTTCTATTGGTGGACTATAAAGTGAGTCAAGTCGTCTGGGCTAACTCACTAGTTACATATACACAAAAGACTGCAACAACAACATTACTAATGCATCCAAGAAAATTAAATTTCGGCATTAAATGACCCATAAGGAATTGATATGCCGTTAAACAAAAATAGCGATAGTAACAAATCTCTTTAAAACTTTAATTTCTTGGTCTTTTTTTTTCTTTCCTATTTCGTTTCTTTTCTTTTTCCTTTTCTTTTTCTTGACGCTCATTATAAGACCATCCTCTTTCTCTTTACCCTTGTTTCTTCTTTGTATCTATCTTCCTACAGTCTTTACACTTCTCCTTCTTTCTTTGTCATATGGTTTTTGCACAACAGCTCTGTTTTGTGTTTTTATCATTTTCATTTATCGCTCAATGTTTATCACTATCATATTCATCTCTCTCTCTCTATCGCTCTCTCTCTCTCTCACTCTTTTCCATTGTCCTTCGTTTGTTTCTTTTGCAAGTCTATAGCAGTGATACCCGTCGTTGCTCGGGAGAAGTCAATTCTCTTTGCTCTCCTGTGCAATACACTCGTTTTCTTTGAAATGTGTTATTAGCCAAGTTGTCAGAATTAAAGAATTTCGATACGTCTAAAGTTTTCCCGGATACATTATTGCATATACGATTTAAAACCTTATAATTTATAATATTTATTAGATTTTACATATACTTTGAAGAATGTCAATATTCTCTACTTCCCTGTACTTTCAAGCTGTGTTTTTAATTCATAGGTAGTCGCCAAAATTAGAAGTTTGGAAATGAATTTAAAAGACACATTTATCAATTTAAAAGCACGGAATTTATTTTAAGCTGATTTTGTCTCATAATTCTTTACATTAGGTAAAAAGCATTAAGTTCGTTATGATGTAATATCTCTGCTGCTTGTAGAAATCTTAAAGGCATTAATTTTACGTCAGTTATTTGTTTAACATTTACAAATAAGTGCGGACAACCAACTATATATATATATATATATATATATATATATATATATATATATATATATATATATATATATATAATTACGGTCGGGCAAACCAATTGTGTATTTAATTAATTTCCTGAGATTCGAATGCAGACACACACACACACACACACACACACACACACACACACCACCACCACCACCACCAAAGCTTTAAGCTTTAAATGCTAGAAGTTTTTCTTTTTAATTTTTACACTAAGTTTTCTTCGTGATTGTGTTATATTTTGCTCAAAGATCTTTATTATCATTATTATTATTATTATTATTATTATTATTATTATTATTAGTTTCAAATTTGCATCCTAATTTGTTGTCGCTTATTATTTTAAATATATCCGCATCCGTTCCATTGAGTTCGGCGCATCTTTACATCCATTTCATCTTTCAAATTTATCGTTGTCTGCAATATCTTTCTTTTAAAATGTTTTTAAATTTTCAGTCTTATGATTTCATGACTTTCGTAGTCTTGAATTTGCGACCTTTCCTTTGCTGTCTCGTTATTTTTTCACTGATTTCTTCTTCTTCTCCTTCTTCTTCTTCTCCGCCCCCTCCTCCACCTTCTTCTTCTTCTTCTTCTTCTTCTGTGCTTCATAAGTCACCTACTTTCGTCCTTTTTTTCTTCTTTATTTCTATGACTTCGCTTCCTTCTTGTTTTCGGCGCCGCCATTTTCTTGATTATTTCACCTTTTCCTCTTGAATTCTCCTTCTATTTCATTTCTACTTCTCCGCCATATTTATTATATGCCCCGCATTTCTTTATTTGGCCACATTTTCTTTCTTTTCATATCTCATATTATTTCACTTTTCTCCCATCTTTTTTAGGTTTTATTTTCTTTAATAGTTTTTATTCCACCTGTTTTTTTCTTTTTATTCTTCTATTATTTTCTATATTTTCTCTTTCCTCTTACTCTCCGCCATTTTGTCGGCCTTACGCCATACCTAAACTATCCTTATTAAACTGCTGTTCACTTCCAAATTTTCTTCCCCCTCCTGATCCTTTTCTTTCGACTTTACTATTTTACGGCGTATTTTTGGTACATTTTTCTTTACTTTTTAACTCATTTTTCTCCTGCCTTCTTCGACTGTTTTCATATCTCTTCGCAATTCGTTTTAATTCTGCAACAATCTTTACTTTTTTTTTTTTTTTTGTCATGCAATTTTCATTCTCTCTTTTGATATCGTTTCTCTCTTTCGTTCCATTTTTCACAGCTTAACCATCGTCAGGCCATTGAGTGCAGATATAGCCCTGTGGGAGGGCATACACCGAAGCAGTGTCGATGAGAAAATCTCTTGGTAATGCAACTCAGAAGTGAAAAAAATTAACTTTCCACTAGATATTACCCGTTGAACTGAGAAAAGGTGAAAGAAGAAAAATCTTTTTTTTTTTTAATGAAATAAGTCGGAGAATTATCTAAACACTGATAAAGTTGGTTACTTGGTAAATTTTATTTTTCCTGAGAAAAGGCATAGTCAAAGTGACTAGAAATGCGCAAAACGACGAATGTATGTAACTGTAATAATAAAAAAAAGGAAACTTGGTGAGAATGGGAACAGAGCAACGTATCAGATCCTTTCCAGCCTCGCGGTCTGATTCGTAATTGTATCATATAACTGGGGATATAAGAAATAGTTTATCAATGATTAGAAAACCTGCTACCTGGCATTCATTTTATAGTAAATCAATAATTACGATTGCAGGTATTTATATTATTTGGGCTAATGCAAAAGAAAGAAGTAAAAAGAAATAGAAATTGAGTCATAGAGAGAAGAGAGGTAAACGAAAAGAAGACTAAAGTAAGATGAGGATAGAGCAGGTAGGAGAAGAATAAGGAGGGAGAGAATAAGCAAGAAGAGGAGGAGGCAAAATAGGTGGAGGAGAATAAGCAGTTGGAGGAGGCAAAGTAGGGACAGGGGGAGGAGACGACAAGATGCATAAGTAGTAGGAGGAGGTAAGAGAAGAGCTTACAAAGAAAGAGAAGGAAGGAGAAGGAAAAAGAAAGTAGAAGGTAGAGGAGACGAAAAAACAGAAGAAGAAATAGAAGAAATGCTGAAGAAATAGTTGGGTGACATGAAAAAGAGGAGGAGATGAAAAGGAGCTTAAAAGGAAGAAGAAGAAGAGGAGGAGGAGCAAGAGGAGGATAAACGGGGGAAAATGGGAGAAAAATAAAAATAAGAAGAAGGATGATAAGAAAGGAAGAAGATACAGGAGAGGAGGAGACGCAAAGAAGGAGGAGGAAGACACAAACAAGACATTAAAAGGATGTGGTGGGGAAGAAGAAGAAGAAGAAAAGAAGAAGAAGAAGAAGAAGAAGAAAAGGAGAAACGGGTGAAAATGGGAGAAAAATAAGAAAAATGAAGAAGATGGTAAGAAAGGAAGAAGAAGCAGTAGGAGGAGACGCAAAGGAGGGGGGGAGGAGGAGGAGACAAACAAGACATTAAAAGGAGGAGATGGGAAGAAGAAAAAGAAGAAGAGGAAGAAGAAAAAGAAGAAGAAGAAGAAGGAGAAACGGGTGAAAATGGGAGAAAAATAAGAAAAATGAAGAAGATTGTAAGAAAGGAAGAAGAAGCAGTAGGAGGATACGCAAAGGAGGAGGAGGAGGAGACAAACAAGACATTAAAAGGAGGAGATGGGAAGAAGAAAAAGAAGAAGAGGAAGAAGAAAAAGAAGAAGAAGAAGAAGAAAAAGAAGAAGGATGAGTAGTAGTAAAAAAAAGGTGGAGAATATGAAGAGAATAATAAGAAAAAGTAAAGACAAATATGAAAAAAAAATGGAGATCATTCTGGAATATAGGAAGAATTATTTAACCATGAAGTTTAAAAGTAAAAAAAAATTATAAACTAAAATGAAGCGAAAAACTTAAAAGAAACATAAATGAAATGAAAAAGACAGACAATCGAAGGAATCTTTCTATACTTACATCAACACAATATTTACGTTAACATTTTAATCTCTAAACAAACTTTTAATCTGTAAACAATACCTGTATGACATTTGTATGCCTTCAATCTAATTGTATATAGCTTCAGAATAATTGCAACATAACATGATTGAACTGCCATAATTATATTTTCCATATATACAGTTACTTAGTTTATTTGTTATCGCTACATTCTGAACAGATACCAGAGTTTTTTAGTTGAGTTATTATTATTATATACTATGTTATTTGGACCAGCAATCTCTCCTTGGTAGCTATACTCACAACGTTTCGACTGTTTTACATTTCGCCTTTCCCCAAAGTCTCTGTCCTCATACTGGCTAACAAAGTCGGAATTTTTATTCGATATACAGATTAGATTTTAGGCGTAATGCATTTCGATTAATAATCAGCTTCAGTCGATTGTTCATTTATTTGACTGAAATTGATTATATCAATTTTCAAGAGTCTGTGTTTAAACTTGCAATAAAAAAATAACTTCTTCTTCTTCTTCTTCTTCTTCTTCTTCTTCTTCTTCTTCTTCTTCTTCTTCTTCTTCTTCGTGCTATGTCTGTATAGGACGTGGGTGTTCATTACTGGGTATTTATTTATTTTTCTCTCTTTTTTGATATCACTTTCTCATTTATCTACTGATGTGCTATACTTTTTACTACCGTGTGATTTTATTTCCATTATATTCTACTATCAGGTTTATATATTCATTAGTTTTTCTTCGTCTTCTTCTTTGGGCTATGTCTGTACAGGACAAGGGTGTTCATGGCTATCCACACTTTCCCTTTTTGTATCTGTTAGCAATATTTGACATCTTACTATCAATTCTGCTCAATGACACGCGGGTGATGTAATTAAACATGGCTCGGCTTGCAGTGCGCTCCGTGACTTTCACTCAAGCGTTCATACATGGTGCAGAAGGCTGGACGCCATCTCCCCACTAGCTATAGGTTAAATATTAGGACTTGTAGCTGGAAAAGTTAGTGTTATTCTCAAAAATTGTTAATTCAATATTCACTATCACAAAAGAATTATTCTTACAATTCAAAAAATATTTCACCTATAAGTTGCATTGAAAGTGTTGATAAACCGTAAAATAAATCGCCTCGGTGTATAGGTTGAACATTTCCGGCGAGAATCTATCCTCTCTATCCTCATAATCTTCGCTTCCTACCTCCTTTGTTTTTCAATCATATCACGCCTCATTCATAATCATTTTAACAGTAACGCTCTATCTTGGATTACTCTCGAGCTTTCCATCGGGTGAACTTTAGTATAAAGAAATAACAGTTTCGAAGTAAAGGGTGATGAGCAAAATAGAAATGAAAATTGACAGACTATAAAATGTTCAACAGAATATATTTAATTTAAGATTTAAAAATGTATAATGTACTAATGAAATACTAACTACTAATAATTACTACCAAAATATCAAATGCCGTCGAAGTGATATAAAGACATACAAAAAGATAGTTTGTGAAATTTTTAACGCTTCCAAAATTAAACTTCTCCCTATTAACCATCTGTGAGGTCCCTATCTGACATCCATCACCATGGCTGATGCTAACCTGCAGGAACATAACTCATTGAACCTTCTTGGGCTTATATTCTCAGCTGACATGAAGTGGAAAGATTATGTTGAATCCATTGCTAGATCAGCTGCTAAGAAAGTAGGTTCACTGTGTCATGTGAGACAAATTTTCTCCCTGGAATCTATCTTACATATCTATAAGTCTACCATTCATCCATGATTAGTATATTGCTGTCACATATGATCCGGTGCTCCTGTTGTTTACCTTGATGTAATCCAAATAATAATCAGTTAAATTGTTGATCCTGATCTGGCGACTCGGATTTAGTTACTTACCCACCGCTTCAAGGTTGCCTCTGGTGCGTATTTTATGAATACTTTCATAGTACTTGTTCGGGTGAGTTCTTTGCTATGGTACCTAGATTCTACGTATTTAAGCGCAGTACAAGATTGGCAGATAGGTCTCATCATTTTACAGTTGTGCTGGTAAGATGTAGCCATAAGTTCTATGCTAACTGTTTCTTCTCGGTTCTGAAAACTCCCTTCTGGTTCCATGCTTTCAAACAAACTTTAATCTACAAAAAATTAATTACAAAGTCAATCACTATCTACTGTCCTCCTGATTGCTCTTTTCTCTTTCCACTCATTATTAATGTTTCTCTCCCTAATTCCTCCACATCCCATAACCTTGCATGTGGTAAATACCAATTTAAAAAAAAGAAAAGATTGGAGAAAAAGAAAAAAAAGAAAAAAAGAAAAGATAACGCGACAGAGAAAAAGAGGAAAAGCAAAGTGGATAAGAAAGAAAACATGAACATAGAAAGAAGAAGAAGAAGAAGAAGAAGAAGAAGGAGGAGGAGGAGGAGGAGGAGAAGAAGAAGAAGAAGAAGAAGAAGAATGAGGAGGTGAAGAGGTAGAAGAACGTTGAATATCAGGAAGAGATTTCATTTAAATAACTAATGAATATATAAACCTGAGAGTAGAATAAAATGGAAATGAAAACACACGGCAGTAAAAAGAATTGCACCTCAGTAGATAAAGGAGAAAATGATATCAAAAAAGAGAGAAAAATAAATAAATACCCAGCAACGAACGAGAGAAAATAGAAAAGAGGAGAATAAAAGTGCGTTTGACGACGACATCAACAAAGAACACAGATAAATATAATATTAATGATATTAAAAAAAAATGATATACGAAAAGTAAAAGTTTTCAAGAGAAAGGAAGTTGTACACGATGCATAGCGCTGTAATATTACTATTACTAATACTGTTACTACTACTAATAAGAATAATAATAAAAGGATACTAATAATAAAAAGAAAACAAGAACATAGAAGAAACAAGAAGTTTATGTGGGAAATAAAAGAAAAAGAAGAGGCGGAGGGCATACACAAAATCTGAATAATAAATAGATAGTAAAAATGAAATAAGATAAAAATTATGTTGAAAACTACAAGACGAAATAATAAAATAATAAAAAAATAAGATGGAGAAGAAAACAGAGAAGAATGTGCAAAAAGAGTGAAGAGCAAGTGCAAGGGAGATAATAGGAAGTAAACGATGAGATAACGAATAATAATAATAATAATAATAATAATAAGAAGAAGAAGAAGAAGAAGAAGAAGAAAAAGAAGAAGAAGTAGAACAAGACGAAGAACAAGAAGTACAAAAAGAAGAAGAACAACAAGAAAAATATAAAGTAATATGATACAAATGACAATGAAAAGTCGCAATAGATGAGGAAGAACATG